CAGGTACGATATACCTGATCTCTTGTAACAATTGCGGAGATGAATATATTGGCGAGACGGGCAGACCTTTGTGTATCCGTATAAAAGAACACCTAGATGGCAAACGAAAACTAAGACGAAGCACCCCACTAGGCACGCATAGGATACAAAAGCATAGCGGAGACGATTTTGAAGTGAAAGTCAATATCCTTGCACAGGAGTCCAAAACACCAGCGCGAAAACTCCTTGAGGCTTTTTGGATCAATGCCAAAAGCCCTACAATGAATAGCAGGGACGAATGCCCGGAGATCATACGCGACCTGATCCCGTACGTTCGCATCGATTTTTGATGTGGGATGGTGCAGTCGTCAACCACATGCGACTATAATCAGCTGTTCTAAACTTCCTCATTGGAAGTCACGAAAAAGCGGTGAGTTTTTCGAGAAGTTGTTGATCGTGTAATTACCGAAGAGTCTTTCGTCTTTGTGTAAGTGTTATTGAAGGGTTTGGCCTAGTAGATTGTATATCAGCATACCCTTCCAGGCTCTGAAGAAGGCGATACTGCAGAAACGTCAGCTAGCGTTGTATTGTATTGTGTTTCTCTATGGAAGTAAATGTATGCTGTTTAAAAACCTCGCGATTGCTGAGCAAGAAAACGACACATTCATATTCCAATGCCGAGGTTAAGAGAAAGTCGATCCTGGGAATAATTTTGCAATTCACTATTATATTGGCCATTAATTACACTGAAAGATCCGCTTGTGTATAACTTTTAGCTAACGCCAACATCAGCAAACGAGATAAAAACAAAAACTTTAACAACCCGTTTTTAGAAGTCCGTTACACTTGTTTTTTCTGTACTTCCGCTGCTTACTTTGAGATGTTGCTCTTCCCGTCTAACGCTCACACATCTCATATTCCTGGGATGAATGTGAAAAACTTTGCATCTTCTTCAAAATATTTTAGCCGATATGCTGTTATAGCATGTCAAATATAAAGTAGTTGGTAATTGTAAACCTTGCCACCAATAATATATTTTGCGATTAATAAAATTGATGCCATTTTAACCAACTTAGTCGTTTCATAAATACATGTTTAGCTCCAAGGAATGAATACGTCTGTCCCTAAACAATTTCTTGTCCGACATGCGTCACTTTAAATCCGCGTTAGTGACACATTTCCTTAGCGTCTAAATCCTCAGCATACTCACTATGAGTTAATACCAATTCATGTGGACCCAATCGCTGATCCTCACGTATTAGTCGAAGGCCACACTCTGACTCCAAGTGCTAGACTTTGCTGAGAAATGTGCCACTATTAGCTTACCTTTTATGAAACAGCTTCGATGAACGAGCAGTTGTTGAAGAACTACCGCAACCGGATCCACAAGCAGTTTTATTTTCTGTCCATATAGTGACAAAAATTTTAGATAAACTTCACAATATCAGCCTATTTAAAATTAATGCCATTTTTAAAGTCTTTATTTCAACTACATTCATATTTCAGCTCACAGTATATTTCAATTTTTTAAAAGGAAACCTTTATGATTTTAAAAAAAAGATAAAGCTCTCGCCGTTGATCAATCCCTGAGGGATACGTCATGTATTCGACTTCATTAAGTATCGTTTGGAGGTGACTGAATGCATTTCTGGCCTTTACAATGACTCGCGGTAGCCTACCGATGTATCCAGCCAGTGCTGCTCTCCTCTCAGGCAAGTCTGGTGCCAATTTGCCGACCCCGGAGGGATTGAAGGCTTGATGGACCATTGGGCGCAGGGATCGATTCCACGTGTTTGTTGCAGGGCGCCTCCGACCACTGCGCCACACGCTCGCTCCGTTTTGTGTTCTATATATGTTTGTATTATACTTTTATATCATATTTTCTATACGTTTTATTTGTATCTTTTACATTTACATGATCTATGCATGTTGTTGGTCTATACACATACGTTTTGGTAATGACGTACACTTCGGTTTGCTTCGACGATGAAAATTCAAATCTTTTGAAGACATCTTCAACAGCGGCTTTTTGGTGGAACACATGACAATCAATATTAGTGTGCACTAGAATTAATCTCTTTCAATCAATATCTCTCGCAGAAGTAGTAGTTTTTCGTGTATTTTGTCCTTATCTCATGATTATAGTTCCTTGTTATGAGTTCATCGCTAAGGTACGAGAAGTTTCACGGGATTGCCGATCACGAAGCGGTCACCATGTTGTTGTTTTGATGGGAATTTATTTCCGAGCAATGTTCCACTTCCTCGTTGCTCAACATTTCGTAGGAAGTTGTCGATTGCCATGCAGAATCCATTTTTAACCCTTTCTGCAATCAGAAAGCTGGTAGTTTTTTTTGCGCAGACTATCGTTTGATTTATGCCGCATTCAGTTATTGAACTTCCCATCTTCAAACTTGGTTGAAGCCTTGCGTGCGCTTCCGTCCCGCTCAAGCTTTCGCCTCTGTCGTGTTCCTAATCATCATGGCCATTCTATTTGTTCTTGTCACGAAATCTTTGCAACGCAGTTTGCAATGTAACAGACGTCTCAAGGGTTTCCTAGAGTATCACCTTTCGTTCCACTGGTCGTCGAGTGACTCATCAGTAGCGGGCGTCAGTAAATCTTCCACTTTTTCCTGTTTCCTGGCGGGCAAGAGTAGCCCAGTGGGTTCTGCTCGTTCCAGGGACTCGTTAAGCATCATATCCTTTTTCGTCATCTTCGTGAAGAACTCTAAAGAATCAGATTGGTGGTTTTTCTGTATTACGTTTGAACTTCCGAGGAATCCAGTCACTTACGGCTCTTGTCCATCGGTTGTCGTTCATACGCGTTACATTTTCAGCCCATCTAATCTTATACAGTTTGGCATATAGAACGGCTTCTTTGGTTTTTTATCGTTGAAGCAGGAGGGGTTCATATCCCTTCCCACACTTATACAACACCGGGCACTTTTGGCATTGTTTTTTCGACTGTTCGTTCAATAACGCTTTCATCCTGCTTAAGCAGCGATCAAGTTTCTGATGCATGCGTTGAGGCAGGAAGATTCGTGGAGTTCAAATGGTCGGCAAGGAGTCGGGTTATGTTCACTTCCCGACATAGATAAACGTAACTGGAGCACTTGAAGATATTCGTTCCGCTGATCGTGAATAGGGCATACGTATTCCTCATAGGCATCGTTTTCGTGAGATTCAGCAGAAGAACAGTCTTTGCACTGGCTTTATCAATATCGACACGTGTTCGTTCTGCTCGGCTATTGCTCCGTATTATAAAAACAATGTCATCAGCATGACGAAGTTAGTGTAATTGCCCACATCCATTTTGACTATCATGCTGTCCAGTTCCAGTGTTCGTATAACGTACTCAAAGATGACGGCGGACAATTTTGGGGAGATGGTGTCGCATTGCTTAGCCCCTCTTTTAACTTCAATGTTAATATGGATATAGAATGGTGATATCCTGGTAATGAAATTGATAAGTAATTCACGAAGAATTTTTACATACTGAGTAGAGACTCCCTGGTTGTCTAGGGCTCCTGTGACTGCTTCTATCTCAGCAGAGTCAAAAGCCTTCTTTAAATCGATGAAAGTGAAGTAAAGTGGTCTCTTGTACTCTCGCGATACTTTAATCAGCTTTGTTATTGTGTGGATGTAGTCTATTGTACTAAACCCTCTTTGAAACCTTGCTTACTCACATGGCTCTCCTTCGTCCAGTGTTCTGTCAGTCCTGTTTAGGATGACTCGAGTGAGAGTTTGTAGACGACACACGCAAGCAGATTGTGCGATAGTTGCTTATATCGTGTAGGTCACCCTTCTTGAACAATAACACGATTTTGCTGGTCTTCCACTGAGTAGGGAGTACCTTGTATTCAGACAGGTAGCATGTGAAGAGCCGGGCCAATGTGTTTACGAGGACTTGCGGAAGGTAAGTCAGGTATTCAGATTTTATCCTGTCTGGACCTGGTGCTGTTTGATTTCTCAGCAACGAAATGGCATGTCGGATTTCGGAAGGCACAACAGGTGTTACGACATATCCATCTTTCTTCATTTCATGTAAGGACAAGAGAACGCGGCTACTGATGAAGTCCGAGTAGTAGTCGTGGACGATTTTTCCATAGCGTTTCTGGAAGTTACAATTGTTTCATCCGGGCGTCGAAGTGCAATCGTCTTGATCTTGTAATTGGCGAAGTTTCGGTAGACTTTGCGAATGTTCCTCTGCTTTGCCATTTTCCCGTTTTTTTTTCTGTTGAACAGAGGCCATGGAGGGAAACTACACTTGGAGTATTAACATTCTACCCTACTTTTATGTAGAATCCTTTGGAAAGTATTGCAAATTAAACAATGCGATCATTATTCATACATTATGTCGATGCTTTGTGTTATAAATATTACGGGCGTAGTAGGATACCTCTTTGTACGGGATGTTTTTTGATTGTGATGCATTTGAATTTATTGTTACAATAGTATTGCATTCTATATAGGAATGTTAATCTAAGCGATATCATTTAAGGGAACGTCGTCCACAGATTGACATCGAGAAATTTCGGATACACAACGTTGACGGCGACACCATAGTTCGCCGTGGTGTGGCCGGGCAACCCATGATCATCGAAACCTGCAAGGTTTGGCGGTCACTGAGACCTCACCTTCTACGGTGTGCTTTCATCTTGGGCCGTATATTCTGTTCGGATTTAGGACAGTAACATTATCGTGCTTGATCGTACTTCAACAATAACGGTTGACGACTGCTCAGATTGTTTGATTGTGTTGGGTGCATGTGCTGGAAGGTGAGTGCGAGTTTAATCAGTCTTATACATTTTCCAAAGCAAAGACTTATCACGTCTATTTTGATGATGTTTTAATCTTACTGCTTCAAAGATTATTTACGCTTTTCTGTATTTCGTATTGTTTCTGTGATTTGTGTTCTTTTTCTCTCTGTGCTTCAAGAAAGAAATCTTGAAATTGTGGGCTTCCGCGTTCTCCATGTCATTTCTTCAAGCTTTTTCGTTCCGATATCAAACTTCACTAGCTAAAGTAATATTTTTTCCCTGAAAACTTATTATTTTTTGTACCTTTGTCTTCTGTTTCGTGATATCGTGCTTTCTATTGAATGGTGTCATTATTACTTTATTGTAACTGCTGCTGGCCTAGCAAATCTACAGGTGCAAGCAAGGTTGTTTTCCTTGGTAAACGACTTAGCTTGGAAAATGAATAGGAAATCTAACCTTTATAAACATTTTCATGGAACTGAAACTAGTTGATAATTATGAGGATTTTTTATATATCTTTTATATATATTTATTACCTGAATTTTATTTACTTTTTATATATATTTTTATCTTTTCATATGACCCGTCTTCACATATACTGTGTCAATCCCAGCACTTCTCACATTCTATTCGTTTTCTTGAATCCACCATCCCCAAGATCTTCCAACTTTCACGTGTGGCTTCGAATACCTCTCGAGCACTTTCATTTCAACTCGAATTTCGTAGAATGCCAGCCTAGTCGATTCTTCTTGGAATCCTGAGATAGCCGGGTTGGAGCGTTCCCAATTGGATTGCAGGCCATTGTCATGGTTACTTTTCATTTTTATTAAACTTGTTTTACATGACGCGTCATCATATCATCTGTGCGGATCCCAGCACTTCTTGAATTCGTTTAGTTTTCCTTACATTCATCGTCCACAGTGGTCTTCGAGCATTTCATTTCTTTCGGCTGTTGCTTCATGATTTCTTCTTCTTTATGAATATCGTGGAATGCTGAACGATTCAATTCTCCTTCCAATCTTGGAGATTTTTTCTTCATGATTGTCGTGGAATGCAGAGTTAATCAATTTTCCTTCCAATCGTCCCAATCGTCTATATATACATTTATATAAGTCGCCGTATGCGCTAGTAAAAATTTTTCCGGCGATAGTGTGACGAGTTTGTTCCCTCCACTACAGCGTTAGAATGTAGGTAGCTTCGATATTTGCCACGAGATGGATACGCTCGACTATTAAGTGGTTTGTCTGTACCTTTCCCAAGCTTCGAAAAAATTTCTTGACTGTAAGCACCTCGCCATCTTTCACGATGTCAAATTGGGACGCTAGCACTTCTTTGACTTTGATTTTGGAGGAAAAATATCCAGTCACTTCCTGAAAATCAAGCTTAGGTTACCCATCAACGTAATGGTTAGGTTGTTGAAACTAAGAAGGCCTTGTGGATGTTCACTTGCAAAATGCAAAATTATCGAAGTACTCCACTACTTTTTCGATATCTTATATTTTTTTTTATTAGTGTACCAGTTCCGATCCAGAAGTGATTAAAATCAAAGAATAGTCCAATCCCCTTGCAAAGAGTCTGTTATATTGATGAGCATACCATCTATGAAGTTATGAATCTTTTAGATTGTTCTTCCTCTGTTGCAGTTTCGTGCAATATGCATTGTGACATCGATACACAGTTCCAATTGGTTCTAGATCTTTAATGGGTATTTCAGTGTGTTTCTCCGTGAATGTCATTGCTGCACGGTGCTGGTAGCATGCCAACAACTCCGAACCAGAGATTGTCGTAGTTTACGCATTGCGCTGCATTGTTCTACGCAACCGATCATCGAGGAAACGTCGGATGCCATCTTCCATCCGCTAACGCTTCACTACGACTCATTCATTGGTAAGTATGTGGGCAAGAAATGCTAAGCTAAAATTCATTTCAAGGTTACTGTTTGTTCTGATGGAACGAGAAGTTACTTCTTTCCATTGAAGACAACATGATTGCCGCTCATTTGAGTATATTCACCAGTTATTCAACATCAGTGCATGACTTCACCCCAGAAGAAGGCTCTGTGCATTATCGCATGAGCAGCGAAATCTTGTCATTGGTAGGATTTTTCCTTTTGTTCAGTTGATTCATCTTCTGTTTTTTTTTCCAATGTCAACATAAATAAATCGAAAGAAACATGTACTTTAACGCATTATTTAAACAATTTATCAAGGTAATGATGGGAATGCTTTGAAAAAAGTGGAATTTCGTTGAGCAAGTTTGACCAGTATAGGATGCGTAGGTGGAAGAGAAGCTGGGGAAGTATTATATAGTTCCTAGTTGATTTCAGCTTAAGGGTTATGTTTTAGTTTCCTAACTTGCATGCAGTTATTGGGGGCTTAGGTGGCTGAGGACGCGTAAGGCGTTTGTTCGTCGCCAGCAACTATGCTCCTCGGGCAACTCCCCTCTACCGCCTCTCCTCACCCATCCCATCCCATCGTCCGGAGTCGAGAAATCACTACCCAATTTGCCGGAGATGAACTCATTTCCTCCAGTTCTTTGGAACAAACGACTGGTGGCTGTGATGAAAATGTGAGAACGCCCTAGTGCAGCAACACAAGGATTCCATGTAGAATGCACCCGACCAGCATCTAGCGACATTCATGACGAAGATGATTTTAGTGAGAAGGATGCAAGTGCGTATTGGAAGAGAAAACGAATTAAATACAAGATGTCGTGGTATCTGTGGAATAAATGGTGTCAGCTAAGGAGAGGAGTCATCGAAAAAAGCTTAAAATTTTATGCATTGAATTTTGTACGTCAAAGATGAGATATGTTTAGAAATGGAGCGAATGTCCTTTTTAAATTTCTTCCATACTTGTAAAGCCTTTTGAAAATTATGGCAGTGATGTGCGACGTTTCCTTGAAATATTCAAGCCGAAGTTCAATGAAAGTTCGTTTTTAAGATAAGATGATGTTCAGTGCTTTAAAAGACCAGCTTTCTATAAACCTCTCCATAATTAATCGATATATTTATTCACACTCGAAACATCACGGATCTGAGGAAGGCGAAATATAGAAAGAAAAAAATAAATAGAAAAAATATAGAAACAAGAAAAAGAAAGAACATAAATAAAGAAAGAAATATATATGGGTTCTGATGTTATATATGTTATAGTTATATATGTATTCTTTCTGTGATGGGTTGGACACGAGGTGCATAGATATATTCATTTTCGGCTAAAGTTCCGACGTCTTCGTCTTCATCAGAGCCGACGATCCGAGTCTATGGTCCACGCTTGCTATTCGTCTCGATGTGGCGGTTTCGCCTTCGTGTCGAGTCAGGTCTTACTCAGCGGGCTATTTCGATTGAGGCATACTCACTCGGTGATGCTCTTCTATGCAGGGTGCGGATGGTGGATATAATGATAATGCCCGGTGAAAACAAATTGTTTTTCATCCAGACAATCCATCCTACCTACAGAAGTTGATGTTATTATCATATATATA